GCTTATCGTGTTTCTACTAGTAATAAATAAAAATCATCCTATAGAAATTAATTTTATTTAGATATGCTTGATCTTTAAGTCCATTTTATTTCAAAAAAACAAAACCTTTCATATACTTGTTATTATTCCTTATATATATACTCAAAGAAGTCATACTTTTCTTTTTTAATCATCACAGTGACAATAATGTTATGTTTTATATATGAAAAAAAAATGTTGATTACATGATATTTTTAAATATAAACTTTAAGGATATATATATATAATCTTGATCGATTTGTTGTTTTGTAAATTTATATTTTCAAACTATGTAATATTAAGCATCAAGAACTTAACTAATTTAATTATTTTTTTTTAACTAAAAAATAAAATAGGAATTTCAATTTATTTTTCACGCTTACAAAGAATTGAATCGATAATTATGTAAATAAAATAATCCATGCATATTTGAAATAAAGAAATTCAGCCTTGGATGCATTTCATTGATGATTATTAATTTCAAAAAGCTTTTAAGAAAATAAACAATCAGTTCGCTTTTACCATACTCTCACTTTCGACGATTTAAAATCATATAAAAAGAAAATAACTATCATAGCTATTTATATCAGCAATAAAAGTTACTCAGATGTTAAAGACACGTTTTCTTCTGATAACAAGTCAAGAATCTGATTTCAGTTTATGATCTTGATGTTAATTCAGCTGTTTTTCTTCTTTTAAAAATATTATTTGAACTAATTAATGTTATTTATATAGAAGCAAATCTATGGAATAATCAGTCAGAAATAAAGTTCTAAGAATTTTTTGTATTATGTAAAATTCCGGTTGTTTATTATATATGCAAAGCATGTTTTTTTTCGATATACTGAATTGAATCGACTGAAGTTGTATAATATTTTTTTTTATGTAGTGATTCTAATAATTATGAAAACCAATTATAAAATATATGAAATTCTTGAACAATCAAATTTTATAATTTGATTTTTTGAAATATTAAATAATATTTCAGATGACATTTTTCTTTATTAAATCAATATATGCATCTATTTCAAATTCAGATGTCAATTGTAATTCAAAAATCAACATGAATCTTTATTATTTATCTTTAGAAATTCATATTCTCAAGAACATAACGAAAGAAAAAAAATAAACTACATGAATTCATAATAAAACATAACGAATATAAGTGAGACAAACAACATTAGTACTATAGACTTTTGAAATATACTAATCATCACTGAATAGGATCAGATATAATAAACTATTACATATTAATAACTTGTCATAAATCACTTACTATAATCTTTAAATTTTACCGATGACAATTGTTTGAATATTAATTCATTCGTAGAATAAATGACCTTTATTCTTTGTAATGTACAAAAATCAGTTGTTTCGTTTTCAACTAGTCTATATAATTTTTACTTTTTACTAACCTTGGAATATATAAGTGTGTAATTGTATTAATATTTTTCATATTTCAAAAAGATATTAAGTTTGTATTAATAGGTATGTCATTGAATAACATGCAGTGATGCTTTGTTTTAGTTACACTTTAAAAATGCAAGAATTTTTTATTAACAAAAAAACAGCTGTTAGAAAAAACCAGGTTCACACTTTACTCTTCCATTAACTAATTAAAACAAAATTAAATACATAGTCATTTTAAATAAACATTTCAATGTCTTATTTACATGAAAAACAGGATAGAAGTGCAAGAATTTCACATGATTATTTAAAAAATCGAAAGAATTATATAATAGGAAAAAAATATTTTTCCAATAAATCGATATAAGATAAAAAATTTTATTTGACTCTTTTATAGGATAAACAGTTATACTGAGATATTATTTTCATAGGACAGAAGGTACAATGATTTATGTAAAAATATTTTTGAAGTAATTATGAAGAATACGTTCTTAAAACAAAATTAAATTACTACTTACTTTTTAAATTTACCAGAAGTACATTATTTGTATGAAACAACAAAATGATTAAGATTGCCTGTATTAATTATTAATAACGTTCGTGCATATTTAATTAAGTTTTAATCAAAATACGAAATAGATCTATACGATATAATTCTTTTTTTTATTAGTATGCGCTAAGAATCAAACAAACTTATGGAATTAAATTGCGAGAAATGTTTACAATCGTAAAATATGCCTCTTATATTATTACTATAGTGATTAAGAAACAAACATGTTCAGTATTATAAAATGAGAAAAATGACTCATGCTACTTTTGCTGATGAAGATCTATGAAATAATATTTGTCGTTGTGTAATAACTATGATTAAGTATTGAGCAATAGTAATTTATTATTTATTCATCATTATCTAATATTGATGAGAATAGAATTGTTTTAAGGAAAATAAATTGAATATTCAATGAAGTAATGACATTGCATTGTATAGCACTCGCTATTTTTACCGTTTTTCCTTCAAAATACTCATCATTATTACAGTTATACTTCGAGGACAAAAGAGAGCTATATGCATATTTATATAAATTAAAATATTCAAGTCTTAACATCTGTAAAGAAATGTATTATCTCTATGCTGAAAAAAATCGCTGAAGTTTAGTTAGGAACACGAAAATTATGATCATTTATTTGTTTTTGTTCTATCTGATTTATACATTTGTTACTGTGCAAACTGACATTGCAAAAAGAAAATATCACAAAGAAAACAAATATAAAACACTTAATACAATCGCTGGTTTAAATACATGAGCAGATTTAAAATATTAATAATAATTTTCAATCTAGCTAACAATTTTTTGTTGGAGTTTATAATAAAATGATCTTGCATCATTAAATCGATTATTATAACATTTTTCTAATTCTTCCTCAAATGCTATTTTAGCATCATAATCAGTTTTTGAAATCATTAAGGTTTCATAAAAATGTTTGTATTGTTCTTCTCCAATTTGTTTGAAACGACTTTTATGAATACGTATGGCATTAAAACATAACCATAAATGATCTTTTATTCCTTGCCATAATTTAGTTATAATTTCATTATCATCTCCACGACCAATCATGGCTAAAGAAAATATATTATTGATTATTTTGTATATATTATTATTCATTTGTTACCAATAAAAACATCTTCACTAAATGGAGAACTTGGTATATCCATAAAAAGGCCAAGTAATCGTTCGAGTTTAGTTTTTTGACCAAATGCACAACCAAAATCAATATGTAAAATTTTACCATCGTCAGTTATCATAATATTATCATCTATGAAAAGTAAAATATAA